CGATTCTGACACACCACCCTATCGCACCCCGTGGGGTGACGGCGCGAGGGGGTTTCCACACGTAAAAAAAGGATTGGGTCAAGTTTTTCTTCTCTTTGTAGTGCTGTTGTCCTGCGTATTTTGATCCCTTACTCGGTTCTCACGACACCCACGTGATGAATAGGGAGAGATGTTCTATCTCATCATCATCATCATCAACAGCCTTTACTAGTCCACTGCTGGACATAAGCCTCTCCTCAGAAAGGAGGTTTTAGCCTACTATACCACGCTGGCCAGACGTTTTGGTATAGTGTTTGTGTCAAGTTTTCCTTCTCTCTGCAGTGCTGTTGTCCTGCGTAGTTTACTCCCTTAGTCGCCTCTAACGACACCCACGGGATGAATAGGGGTGGTGACACTCTGTATTCTTAATCCGTCACCACACGGTAATGTTCTATCTACTCCTGCTGAAAAGACTTCTTCCATATAACTGCTGTTGTTTTCAATTAATGATTACAACTTAGTGTAAATTTAAAAACATTGTTTTACTAGCTACTACAGTATGTTTGCAACCTGGTAATGAATGTTTTATCTCGCAATAGTTTTATTTATACATGGTGTATGCAAACAATGTGAATTCAATTAAACGACGCTGGCCTAGCAACGGTCCCGATGTGAAAATAAACACGGCCGTACCGCACGGCAGCGCGTCGCTTCACCTCATGGTCTACACCGAATCGGTGCGGTAGTTCCTATTTGTTTTTTTTAACTTGAATTTATATACTGCTAGTAACGAAAATTGTGCAAAAACTATAGGTAAACTAAATTTTATTTATAAAAACGACTTTCGAATTCGACTGCACGGATGGCGTAGTTGTTTAAGCGGTCGTCACGCCGCTTCCTACTACGCCGAGTGTTGTGGGTTCAAACCCCACATGGGACGACACTTTGTGTGATCCACAAATTGTTGTTCTGAGTCTGGGTGTTCTTTGTGTCCGTTTCATGTATGTTTGTAAAGTCCCCCGCGACACAGGATATATTCCTAATGCGGGAGTTGTCTTTTTAAAAAGGAAAGGAAAGGAAAAAGACCTCATCAGACCATCTCTCAAAAGCAATATTGTTTTTCCATTTTCACAACTTTAATCATTAGTGCTCTACTTCTATATAGCCTTTTACCTTCCTCAATAAATAAACTATCCAACACTTGAATAATTTTTCAATTCCATCCAGTAGTTACTGAGATTAGCGCGTTCAACCAAACCAACTCTTCAGATTTGTACTACCTCATCATCATCATTATCATCAACAGCCTTTAATAGTCCACTGCTGGATATAGGCCTCTCCTTAGAAATGAGGTTTAGGCCTACTATACCACGCTGGCCAGACGGGTTGGTATAGGGTTTTTGACAAGTTTTTCTTCTCTTTGCAGTGCTTTTTCCTGAGTAGTTTGCTCCCTTAGTCGACTCTTACGACACCCACGAGATGAATAGGGATGGTGACACTCCTTACTCTTAATCCGTCACCACACGGACAGTAAATTAACGAATTTAATCGGATAGACAGGTAGCGCTAGTCATCTTCGGAAAAGGTCGCTTCACTCATTGAGTTTACTACTAGTTTATACATAAGGTTAAACAAAACAAACAAACATATTAAATTATTAAGACCAACATACGTTGGATTTGCAATATATGCATAAAATAAAATAATATATAAAAAAAATTAATTGTCATGGTCACACTAATTTTTTACAAATCTCTCTCTATTTCATACATTTTAAAGTGTGCTCTTTAAAATCATAATTAAACAATAAACTTCTCATAGAATTGTTAAAACTCTGTCTGCGTAAATATTTTTAGATAGAACAGAATTTAGTTTTTTTTTTTTTTTTTTTTTTTTATTGTCTAATATAAAATTCATACATGCATTTTATCCTTCATATACCACACAAACCATCAAGAGTTTATCCGTGGTATACCAGACACATCTCGGTTACAATTTAATTACATAGGTAAATTTATAAAGTTGAGTATCAGCTAGACAGTAAATATTTTATGTAAACAGTTTTACAATTTTTTTTATTCATCTTGCTACAGGTTTCGATAGGTATGTTGTTCATTATACGGGGCAGCATGTGTTCCCACGTCCGCGTCCCATATACATTAGTATGCTTAGGTATTCTATAATTGGGTAGGTATGACAAGTGACGTAGTGACTCCAATCTTATATTTTCCTTCAATTTAGCAAGGTTGTGGTATTCCTCATCTAGTACACATACGCTCACTTTATCGAAAACATTTAATATTTGACAGTGTTTAAATAGGCCACATTCGTCTTCTTTAAAGTGTAGTTTAGTTTTTCTAGGTACTATTGTTTTTAAGATGCTTAATTGTATGTTATAAATGTTTTCGAGGTAGGTCTTGTATGTGCGCCCATAGCTACCTAGTCCGTAGCCAATCACGGAGTCGGCAAGTGCGAGGTACATGGTTCTAAGTGTTTTGTAAGGTAATTTATATTTAAGTACATATAATTTGGATTGAAAGGATCTTAATTTACTACATACTTTATTAATATGAGGCCCCCAGTGGAATTTATTATCTATGGTAAGACCCAGATACATATGCTGAGACACCAACTCTAATGATTGGCAACTGCACAGGGTTCCCGTCCGATGTAAGCACGAGTGCTCATGAGCAACAATGACTGGCTCACAAGGCGATGTCAAATAAGGTGAATGTATATGCATCATTTTAGTTTTTTGTGCATTAATCACTAGACCCACATCGTGGGCCCAGCTACACAATAGATCAAAGTTACGCTGCATAACCCTCTGCGCCTCACGTAGGTCTTTATGCGCAGATATCAAGCATGTATCGTCAGCAAACTGATACACCGATCCTTCAGTGAATACATCACACATGTCATTTACATATAACAAATATTCGGTTGGCCCGAGAATCGAACCCTGTGCCGTGCCTTTGTCGTTTAGAATCATATCACTTAGAGAGCCAGCGATACTTACTGCGGTGTAACGATTACGATGATAATTCTCAAACCAATTCATCAAAGGTCCACGTATACCATTATGCTTTAATTTAGTAAATAAGGTTTTATAATCTAATAAATCAAATGCTGTACTGAAGTCAATAAAGGCAACAAGTACATGTTCACGGTTGTCCAGATACCCGTTAATCTCATTGCTAAACTTGGATAATAATTCAGAGGTGCTTTTAGTTTTTTGAAAACCAAATTGTTTTTCATTAATTATACTATTTTCTTTTAAAAACCTACCTATCTCCTGGCCTAAATATCTTTCAATTATTTTATCTATACATGACAATATAGTAATTGGCCTGTAGTTATTTGTATTTGAATATGAACCATTTTTGTGAATAGGTCTTATTATTCCGATTTTCAATTGATCGGGGTATACGGACGTGGCAATACATGTGTTAATTAAATGCGTAATGACCGGGGTAATTTCATTGATAATATGTTGCAAATCTTGCACTCTTATACCATCGAAGCCTGGGCATTTTTTGGCATTTAAATGTTTTATAATATGAAAGATTACATCATTTGTAGCTTTATGTAGCCTTATTGATACATTGCATTCTTTGCTATAAGTTACAGGATTGAGAATTGGCGTGTTACATTGCACACACAAGCTATTTACGTTACTTTGAAATTCATAAGCAAATATGTTCGAAATCACATCGGGCGATGCTTTGAAATATTTTATAATTATGTTATCAACCGAGTTATTTATTTTACCGCACAACCCGTTTATGATTTGCCAAACTTTACGAGCATTAAGAAAATTACTTTGTATCTCTGTCAAGAAATAGTTATTTTTTACATTATTTATATGTTTATTCGTTAGATTTCTATACTTATTATACAATAATCTATTTTGCAAATTACTTTGATCTTTAAGCCAGATATTCAATAATTCATCTCGTTTTTTACACATCTTTACTATTGCATCACTAATCCACCTACAACTTTGCCTTCTACTTTCTTTAATTTTTTCTTTATAGGTACACTTTTTATAAACATATGAAAATTTTTCCAATATGTAATTCAATACATCTGTCGGGTTATCGTACTTCATAGCTAAATTCCAATTTATTTTACACAACTCACTACGCACCCCCTCATTATCTAACTTCGTGACAATTTTATATTGAGTATTTTTGTTGACAAGCGTATTGTGGACTAGCGCGCAACCGGTTATGAAGTGGTCGGCGAGCGCGTTGTTTACAACAGCTGTGTGCACCGCTTGCTGGTCGATACTACGTACATATATATGATCTATACATGTTCTTGTGATACACTCACCCTTCTTATCTATCCGAGTGAACTGGCTTATTCCGGTTTCTAGGCCTATCTCTCCGAGTGAATCAATATACAATTTAGCTATAGATGAGTGTTGTTTTAAGTCAATGTTCATATCCCCTAAAATTATTAAGCTATTTTTATGTGGGAATTGATCCATTGTGCGCACTAATTCCGCTACGAATTGGGTCCTATCCAGATTGGGGGGTCTATACAAAGCACACAGACCTGTTGTTGAACCATCGATCATTTTTAGCTCACCTGTAATGCACTCAAAGTTCCGTGTACTTATTGGTTGTCTATTGAAACATACACTTTTGTGAACATATAAAATAACACCGCCTCCCTTCCTGTAGTTCCGTAACTGTGTATGCATATCGTAGTCCTCCAGTTCGAACAATGATTTAGTTCTGTCAGAGATGTTTGCTTCGGTGACGGCAACTATGTGAATAATTTGAGGGCAGTCAGCAATAATGTATTCCAATTGGGAAAAATTCTTTACTATTGATCTAATATTCACGTGTAATAATATTGTTGATTTATATATCTTCGGTACATCGTTTGTAAAATCATTCCAGTTATTATATGTGTGTTCTATGATGCTATTATAAATGTCATCCATTTTTATTGAGAAGGTTTGATATGGGGGTAGATATTGTGCAGCAGAATAAATGTATGCATCAGAATTATGTACCCTTGCTGCTCCTGAACTCTGCCACATATCTTTGTATGTCTTTTACAGATCTTACATTATGGGTTTTTCCTTTTTCGCATCTTCGTACCAATATCTGCCCATTCTTACACCACACAAATTTACATAAGTCAGTTTGTTTTAACTCCGTTTTAGCCACCCACAGGAGGTATGCCGTATTTGGTGATAGACATTCTCGGATGTAGATCTTATTAGCATCGTCAATTCCTATATCCTTCCCAGTGATAGTGAGTGGTTTTATGACTTGTAGCCATTCTTCTCGACAGCCTTCTTTTAGACTAACAACAATTGCAGAGGGTCGACTTAGTGTCTTAGGGTCAGATCGGATATTCTTCTTACGATATGCTTTAATAATATCATCGGGATTTCTTTGTATTTTTCTACACAGGTTTTCAATCATACCATCTACATTTTCATTAACTTTTTCTGAAATACCACACACTTCAACATAATTAGCTAATTGACTTTGTTCTATGGCGTGCAGTTTTTGTTCCAGCACATCGTATTTCAGTTCCATGTTTTTGAATTTATTTTTAATTTCTAAGCTTTGGTTTTCAACAGCCTTCAGATTACCCTCGTAAATGTGGATTTTTTTTTCGTATTCATCTATTTTATCAGAGTAAAACTGAAGGGTAGACTGCAGCTCCTGCCGTATTATATCGCGTACTTCTCTTCGTATGTCTTTCAATATACGCAGTGTTATGTTGTTATCAATCAGCTCGGTATCCGTATTTTCTTCTTCTTCGGCATCAGGTAAGATACAAGACAGGCGTCTGGGTTTGGCGCTTCCCGTACAAGAGCGGCATCTCCAGTTCACGGCATCCGTCGAATGCAGGGTGTTTAACTGCTCTGTAGTAATGGAAGCACATGACGCATGCAGCCACTTACTACACTTCGAACACTGTATGCCTGGACTTTTTTTGGTAACCATTTTTGTACACTTAACACATTTGCCCATAATTATTGTTATAGGTGGGTGTATTTAAAATCACAAAGAGCGCAACTTATTGCTAGTTACTAGTCTAGCGTCCGACCGGTATTGCACCGAGAGAGTGAAAGTTACAATATTCTTGGTTGAATAAGCTTTATAATGAAAAGCGTTTCTAAAGTTTGATAGATGATTGATTTGTGGTGCTGGAGACGAATGATGAACGTCAGTTGGACAGAGAAAAGAACTAACGAGGAGATCCTAGTAATGGTAAATGAAGAGAGGCAATGGTTTAAGACACGACAACTTCATCAGAAAAATAGTGGAAGTAAAAAAAAGAAGGCAAGAGAAAACGAGTAAGGCCTAGATCAACGTACAAACAGCAAGAGAAGGAGAAAGTGAGCTGCGGAGAGCGACGGACAATGCCGTGGCTGTGGCGGAATTTTATAATATTTATCTTTTTAATAAAATACTTTTCTTTTAGAAAATAAATTTATTATCGGTTTATGCCGTACCCTAACCCATTGTTACAATACGGTACCCAAGTTATATTGGATATAATACCTACTTTTTTATTTCTCAATGCATATCAATTATTAAAAGGACATATCGTATATATGTCCTTTTAATGCATTGAGTACTTGTATATTTTGCATGGAAAGTATGAATACGAGTAAATACGTAGGTAACTAAACTATGTTTCCATTATACCTTTTGATCTTTATGCCAATCCAAAATTAGGACAAAAAATATTAGCCTAAATGACACATACACAATTACACATATTAAAATAGTGTGCCAAAAAACCTTTTAAAGTGTTATCATGACAAAAAAGCCTATTCTACATGAGAGAAATCTTTAAGAATTATAATTGTAACAAGACGTTATAAAATTTAAAGCAATATGAAGTAAAATCTTTGGTGCTTAGGGAATTCCCTGCCGACCGCAGTGAAAACCTTTTTACCTAGAACAAGTACAGCACAACTCACTGTCTGTGATTTAGGATTTAGCATTTTCTGTAAATCACAAAGTGATTTTAAAACCTTTAGGCGGCTTAAACTGCCCAGTAACAGGTAGTTTGAGAAACAGGTGTACCTACACTTCTCATCTACCTTTTAATTCAATATACTTTCAATTTTCCTACCCTTAATTCCCAAAGTCCTTAGGCAATAGCATCAAGCTTGGCTATGACATGAGTTTTGACTGTTGAGGCTGCACGGATGGCATATTGGTTTAGGCGTCACCTAGCTCCTGCCTACTACGTTGAGTGTTATGGATTCGATCCATTGGATAGCACTTTGTGTGATTCTCAAATTGTTGTTCTGAATCTGGTTGTTCTTATATATCGTTACGCCATAGGATTTAATACTTTTAGTGTTGAATCGTTTGTTCATGAACAATCAAGATCTGAACGGAATCTTGAGGATAGCGCCATCTGGTATCAAGTTACGCACAACGAACACTACGCGTTAAAATATTGATTCATGATTGCCATACTTGCTGCGTCATCTAGTATCGAACAACGGAAGATGAAACTCTAGAATTGTCATTATCTGGAACGCTCTATCGAATCCTAGGGATTATTCTAGTTATTTCGGTAGCCCTATATAAGTGGAGCGTGTTGGCCGTATGAGCGAGTATTGTTTTAGGAAACAGAGGATTGACAGCTAAGCGATCTCTTAGTGCGATCAAAGAGTTATTTAGTTAATGATTGTTGTAAAAGTGAGTGTTTATAAATACAGTGCCAATTTTGGTAATTTGGAAAAGTAACACCCAGCCACAGAACAACTCATCACACAATTATTTGTCATGAGTGGGAATCGAATCCACCACCTCCGGCTTAGCAGTCAGGAACCCTAACCACCAGACCAACAGGCCTAACTAGTGTTGTGACTTTATAATAGACTGTATTTGCCGTTTTTTTTTTAAATGTTAGAGGGTGCAGACGAACAGACGGGGCACCTGATGGAAAGTGACAATCACCGCCCATGAACGTCTGCAACTCAGGAGTCACAAACGCGTTGCCGGCCTTTTAGGAAGGAGTACGCTCTTTTCTTGAAGGTTTGAAGATCGTATCGGTCCGGAAATACCGCAGCCGATAACCCGTTCCACAGATTGGATTGCTGTATTTTCGTCGTCTCTTTTATATGGAAATGGACAGTGTTGATAATGCTGTCCGCATTATCAACACAAATGTGCTGCACGACTTTTGAATACACCTTCGCGAACAAATTTATTCGACGTCTAAGAGTTATGCTTCCGTCATCTAAGTAAGATAGTCAGCTGATAAATCTTGCAGTCAACGGTTTTAAAAGGCATGTTAGTTAATGAGTAATGTGAACATTTATAACGAAGCAAAGCTCTGCTACGGTACTTTTCATAATATAGATAGAGAATGATGAGAAGAAGAGAAGCGAAAAGAAGCTATATTTTCGAAACAATTTTTTTTTATAATTTCGTCTGAATTATAATTTCCTAAGTGTTGCTTTATAACATAGAATGATAAAGTGACGTAGTCATGGGACATTTCAGCCTACGCAATCACAGAAGTGACACTTCGTGGGATAAATATCGTTCTTTATTACATAAATTCTTTGCGAAGTCGTCAAATAACTCACGAGTCATATTCGTAGACGTCGTGTTTTATTGCTGTACATAAGAGACCACTTTAGTAAATTAGGTTTCAGTTTATTAACATTAATTGAGGCGAATATATTATTATTATAAAGGGGCTCTTGTTTAAGTGGTAATCGAGTAGGTTAACAATGTTAGCCAGGTCTATAGATGGGTGACCATTCTTAACACATTGAGACCCCTCCGTGGTTGGGTTTCTGTTAGAAGGAAAAATACCAGGCAGGAGGACACCAGGTCGACCACGAAGGAAGGGGATAGATGACATCGTGGCCTGGACTGGACTGCGATATCGCCAACTAAAGGAGGCCGCTCATGATCGAGAGGTGTACCGTCTGCTGACCTCCAAACTTCATTTTGAGGATGGCACCCCATGATGATGATGAGTTAGAGTCCTAAAAGGTGCGTCTATAGTCTTTCTACAGAACTTCGATATCGCAAAATACTTGGGTTGTGGTCTGATGGTAGTTGCCCCGCTTAAAAAATCGAAGTTTATCCGTAACAAAACCCCAACCTATTTTGGGAAAAGACGCGGAAGAACGGAGAAATATGTGATTTCTATAGAATTGTAGTATTCCCCGTCACTACATGGACTGTCCGGAGTCTTTAATAGTCTACTGCTGGATATAGGTCTGTCCTCAGAAAGGAGATTTTGGCCTACTATACTATGCTAGCTAGACGGGTTGGTATAGGGTTTTTTTCAAATTTTCCTTCTCAATGAGTCGGCGCTTACGACACTCACGGGATGAATAGGGGTGGTGACAGTAACAACAGGGGTGGTGACTCTCCGTATTCTTAATCCGTCACCACACGGACAGTAGCGCAGATAAGTAGCAAGATATAAATCGAGTAATCAAAAGTAATAAGCTCCGCTCAAAGTACCTTACAAGCCTCGCTTCGCAATTAACAAACAAAAACTATTAACAATTTGGCCGTATTTTCTCTCGGACAATATTTCGGCTTAGCACAACTAAGAAAGCCTTTTATGAAAACATCGTTTCTCACCGACCAAAGTACTTTATACCTAAGTTTTTGTTCAAAAAAGATTTTCTTTCGAGATGAAGCGATAATAAAATATTCCGTCTTGAAACGGACAACATTACTTCGATAAAAAGATAATCTGGCGTCCGCAGGATACCGCATAAATACATCGTTTATTTTTCATACGCAAAAAGCTACAGACATATTTTTTATCCGCTTAGTGAGGGAAAATCCGTAAACACCATACTGTAAGCCGTGGGAGAACATAAAGGAGCCCAAAGCATATCGACTGCCGCCTTAATCTCCCATAAACAATCGCTACGAACAAAACCGTGCAAGTAAATTTCAGGAAAAGTCATCCGAGGGAATAATGGCTAAATTCTCCGATCGGGGAAAACATCTCAACCAAAAATACACTTTAAGACTATACTAACAGAGTTCATATAGATAATTTTCAGGTTTATGTCTGCGTGGTTATCTGTCATACAATATGAAGTCATATTAATCGAAGAATAGAGGCTGTTTCCGCATGAAGTAGTTGGCAGGAACATGTGATTCGCCGTTTAATCTGGTTCTGTTATTTTTCCGGTAATACATCAAAGTGGCGACTTTCTACGGCAAATTGTATCAAAGTCGCTGATGTATGTACTGCTCTTATATGAGTTTGTGTGTGTGTGTTGGTGTCTGTGATTGAGGATAAATTTGTGTGTGTCTATGAGAGGCGCCGGCGGCGACCGCAAGATTTATTCCTACTCAGTGATATTAAGCGAGATATATTTGTGATATCGAAACCGTAGTTGGGAGGAGACGTATTGTCTTGTAAGTTTTCTTATTTTAATTTCAAACGTCACAATGTTTTTTGTTTTAGTACTGTTTATGAAGTGGATTATTCTTTGAAGGACGATAGTATTCTACTGCTCAAATCCTGCCAAGGTTCGATGTTGATTTTAAAGAGATAGTGTACGCATTTCTGAAAAATAATAATCTGAAAGGCTGATAGACAGGCGAATCCCTACATAGTGATCCTAAAAAAATTTTTTTTAGTGATTTCTGCCACGAAAGTAGTCCGTAAGACATATTAGAAATATCTAGTTTGAAAAAATATGAACTGTGGTCTGAAACAATTGTCTTCTTGAACCTTCATTTTGCAAACATATAACTGTTGGTATGAAGGTGAGTTATTTTAAAGGGGGACATGACAGCTAATGCATAGGTAAGAGAAGTAGGCATATTATTTTTGCGTCATTTTTTTTTCCAGAAACCACTCTCTGCATTTATACGTTTAATTTTTAAAGCGATAGGGACTGCTACACATTTATAGCTGTGTGGTTGTGAGTAAATATAGCTAAAAGCCATGTATTCAAATTTTTGTGAGAGCGGTTTTTATGTAC